CTATATTATCCGCATTTTACAACATTTCGCAACGAAACTTCGGAATATTACTAATTTTGTGGTGCTCTTTCAAGCTGTGATGAAATTTTTGTCCAGGCATATCTATAGATCAAAATTTCACTCACAAGGGGAAAGGTCTATTTTAGCTTGGCCAACCAGGCCTGAAAACACTCCTTGGAATCAGACCCTATAGTTCTTTTCACTACACTCGAAAAACACTCTGGTTAATTTAGAAATAACACTAATACACTATTTTGGTTAAAAACTTAATATTTAATATTCCTGGTTATTTTATCTCATTTCCTACCATAATCTGGTTAAAGTAAGCAGGAATCTGGTTATATTTGGCTAGGACGAGGCCCCTGAATCAGTGGTTATTTATCCACCCAACATAGTCTGGTTAATTTGACCAGGAAGTCGTCCGCAAATATAGCCAGATTCCTAGCTGGTTATATTATTCAGACTATGGTAGGAAAATGAGATAAAATAACCAGGAAATTTAAGGTGGCTCGATACAGTTAAAAAAATGGAAACGATTTACGATTTAGAACCTTATTTTTGAACAATTATTACTTGTTGGAAAACAAAAAGTATCTTACTGATGTAAAACAACATCTAATAGGTTCGATTTTTTCACAAAAATAACGCACTGCCGTTGCTATGTTAACAATGACGTTTCAATATGGCGGATATTTTGGCTTTAATGTAGTAAGTTAACTCGAAAACGACATCGGTGACCCCGAATTTTATTTCGTAAAATGGTATCTCTTAGAGAGAGATACCATTTTATGGGCTATTTCTAAGTTAACCAGGAAAATTTTAACCAGAGTGTTCTTAGAATCTTAGTGGACTATAAGTGATAAATTCATTTTGCATTAATTGTTGTTAAGGTGTACATATATAAGGATGACTATAACGCCATGTGTGTTGAGGTCTACAGACATCAGCATATCGAAACAGGAGGAAATTTGTTCGGTCTGTGGAGGACTTCGGGTAGTGCTGTAATTCATGTTGTCCTTGGCCCTGGCCAGCGTTGCAGACGAACAGACACCTCGTTTCATCAAGATATGGAATACATGCAACGTGTTGGTCGCTTTGTCAACAAGGGCTACATGTCGTGCCATATCGGAGAATGGCGTTCCCACCACAGTCTAAGTTTGAGCAAACCCAATGCTGAAGAGGAGCGCTTTATCAGACGTGACTTCCCTCGAGGCTTTTCGAAATTTTTGGTTATCATTGCAAACATTAAAAACGGCGATACAATTAAACTGTCTCCATATTTCTTCACCGACGGCGGAACACGCTACGAAAAAGCAGAGTATGTGGTTTTAGAATCCGACAGTCCGTTCTCAACTGATGCTAAAATTATGGCAGAAATTGCGTGGGGAGCTGAGGGAAAAGAATATCAGCCAAGAAGGGAAATTACTACTTTGGGAAAGATAGCCAATCACAGTGGAGCTTCTTTAAGATATACCAGAAACCGACGAATTACGGGTTTGAATTCTAAACGGGATGGCAACATCAATCCAACCCAAATGCAGGCTAACCAAAGTTCATCCCTGGTTTGCCTAAGTCCACCCGAAGAATCAAATACTATCCCTGAAAATGCCACCTGTACATCTCAACCCGGTACCTCCGCAGGGAGCAAGGCAGGTCCACACAAGAGTAAGAATGATGAAGAACAAACACCGTCTGAACGTGAGATTGTTTTGAAGAAAGTTCATGATGACCTCAAGTATTGGTATGGTGTTCAATACGATTCGGCGTTCAAATTTGAAACTTCCAAGGATAGTCCTGGTGCAGTTGAAATTAGTTTTAAGCGCAATGACAGGTACTGGATGGTTCGTTTTCCAGAAGATTTTCCTACCAAGCCAGCAAAATTATTCAACTCTTCCGGGCCAGGGTCGACGGGTTATAATGAATGCAGCAACTTTGGCCTTGCTAAACCCCTGAACAATGAAGCGAATATATTATGGGCGGTAAATAACATGCCGGGAATGTAATATGTGCCAGCATTTCGCATAAGAAACGCCATCTCAGTCTACTTTCATAAATAAATTTCTGAATGAACTTGCAGTTAGGTGATATAATTACTTTGAACATAACTCATCCTTTACACCAGTCAGTTTGTGATACAGTTTTGGCATGGAGTTTTTATAGATTTCTAATATTAATCTACAATTAAGCCAGGACAAAAATCCTGTACAATGTGGACGGGGCTACCTTTGTATTTTAATATTTTCTTCAGAAATTTTGATATATCATGTGGTAAGACAGCCATATTGCGGACACTGTAGTACTGTACTAACCGTATTTTATGTAATATTTAAAACATTAAAGACCGCGGTCATTATTTATGGCGGGGGGTGGCACCGAAGAGAAAAGGGTTGGATAAACAAAATTTGAAGTGAGTAAAATGTTGGGTAAGTGAAAAACAAAACAACTCAACGGTTGGGGAATAGAAATTTATTTCCAAAGCATGACTCGCGCAAGTATTGAAGACTAAACTATCAACAGTCATATGTCAATACAACATGCAAATCATTCAGAGTTACTATCTTGATCATTTTCCGATTTGTCAGGAGGCAAAATTAATGGTGTCTCCAACTAGAAAGTACATGTGCAGACAACATGAAACTTTAGACTGCAGACACAAGCAGTTATCTGCAGACACAAATGTCACAGAAGTGGTAAAGGACATGTGTGACAGCTTGAATGGTATTTTTTTGTAAAGATTTTGGCCATGGCTGGGTATTTATTTTAATTGATAATTCGGTAGAAATTTTAGGTTGGTTTACTTTTTTCCAAGAAAAACATTTCGCTTTGGTGCCACCCCCACCTTAAATAATGACGGTTCCCCAATATAATTATAAGTCTTTGCACGCTTCCAAAAAGTTGTGCTTTTATTTAAAGTGTTTTTTGTTCATGCCCGCTTCCAATAGATTCGTGAGCACGCTATCCATCAACAGGCATTTCAATCAAGTTTTGCAGACATTAAATTTTGTAGTCTTGGATATCGCTGGGAAGAATGACAGAGAATGACATTGCTGGAAAGAAGAACGAGAATGACATTGTTAATACGATGAGTATCTCTCCCCAGTTTCCTCTCGTCCTGGATGCACGCTCTTACTTATCGACCAAGTCGGGTTCAGTCTACACAGCCGTGACTCAAACCTATACTCTGGATAAAACCCATCTGTTGAAAACACTTTCGAATATGGACACAATTTTTCAAACTTGCGAATGGGACTTATCTTGTACCGAGGCATCGAGCTCAACTTCGCTCGATATAACTTGTGCCAAACTAGCCATAATTTTCGCATTTCTACATCGAAAACACCGTGCAGGCTGATAAATTTCTCACAAACTGTTTTGGTATAATATTTTGTATCATGACCCGCAGTTTTATGTACTATTCTTGTATTATCCATGAAATAAGTGACGTTGTATGTGCTGTTATTCATCCACATAGCCACAGCTTGATCGCCAATGGGGTGGCATGGTAAAGTAGTGTTAATTTTACTCAATATTTCACTGACCAAATCTCTGGTTAGTATAAGCCACGCCTCGTCAATCCGGACTATTTTAGGTTTGCAATGTACAAAACCCCAATACAAGGCTTTCTTGGGTCGCCATGGAAGCTCGTGTAGTAAACGTTCTATGCATAGAAAATGGTCGTCGTCGATTCTCAAGAAATATTCAAAGTTGCTGTGGTTTACTGCCCACTGTAAGATCCAGAGAAGACGGGCTGCAAACGCAAATGACATATCTTCTAAAAGTAAAGAGATTAGTAAATATTTGAAGGGTGGATCATTAGATATCCTGGGAGAGGGAGTGGAATTTTGGGGATCCCCATCACCACCCCGGGATAACTATTGGTCGACCCCTAATACAACACAATCAGTGCCCAAATTCTTTGCACACTTTCAGTGAGTTGTTTCAATTCACGAGACCCCCCCCCCCCCCCCATGATCTAATGTTGAATCGTAGTTGTCATTAAATAACAAGCGTACCTCATAATGCGAATCAATGTTATAATGGCAAGGGGGAGGGGAGGCGTCTAAGCTCACGTTTTATATCATTTATAGTATTTTTGCAATTGGGCTGGATTGTAGGTCAGATCTTATAATTATTTGTCATTCAAGTTTTTGCAGGGAACATTTTGGAAAGGAATAATCTGGAACATGGAATGAAGAATATTGGTAAAGTGTCCATGAATTTAAAGAAATGGTAAGTAAAACGTCATCCAGGCTCCGTTTACTGCAAAAATATGTACGGACTACTATAATCATAAAATATCAATATCTTAATTTTCACGGTCTTCAATGCTATTATTTATAGCCGTGATAGGTCGTTTTCCGAACAGACTTTGGGGCTGTTCATATATGGAATCGGGCTGGTCCGGTTAACTGGTATGATTTGTTAAATAAAGATAATAAATTCCGATAAACAACCAAAATGAAATTTCAAAGTTGAATTGACTTAGTTTGATGATTCCAGTAACAAAGGACCTTTGATGCATGGTCAGGAAAAATGTTCGTGACACGATTCCTCCGGGCTGGTCCGGTTCTTATGAGTAGTCCCTTCGGTAGAACTTTCCTTAATAGTAAAACACTCATTTCTTGCCATTTTAAACTTGTACTAAATCATTCGATGCATTAATGGTTAATAACAGACAAGATTCAAATATAATACTTTTTGTTTGTGGAAGAGTTGGAAGCACCACGTATAGCTAAATGTATTATATTTCAAAGCTTTCAGAATGAAAAGATTCAAGAAATGATTCTTCAAGATTCCAAATGAAGTCATTTATATTTAACAATTTGTTTTGCTGACATTCATTCTTAATTGACGTCTTCCATACATACTAAAACTCTTTACTGTCACAAGACACAAGCATTTAAGTTATTCATATTGCAATTTAATCAGTAAAAGACATAAGTCGAACACAGGTATACCTGTCATTGGCATTAGTATCGTGTCGTTGTTGCGCGAAATCTCACTCTCCAGCAATCTTTTATCATTCTCTTTCGCCCCGACATCATCTGTAAAAAATAAACACCTCGCCTTGTCTCTTGTACACTGAGTCATCCATGTCTCACGAATACCCGCTCTTCTCTTCCATCTTCGCCAGTGAGTTAAAACAGCGATAAACAGAAGCGAGTTTTCGTTAGTCGAGTTATCTTTCGAAGAAACTTTGTCGGTTGTGTCGCCTTTCGATATTTCAAAAGTCACTGTGTCTGTGGTCCTGAATTGGTCTGGCGTAAGCAAGAATGGTCGCAGTTTTGTTAAAATGTACAGAATAACGAAGGAAATAATTATCCAAAACGAAATTTGAGAGATGCGTCTTCCATAAAAGTTTTTCCTCGTATTGTTTTTTATGTAACTCATATTTAAAGACAGTTCGACTATTTTTATATTCTTGAGATGTATAATTAGCACAACTTATATCGTGCCCCCAATATATATGTTTTTTATCACCGTTTTCTGCCCGAAATCAATCAAAATGTTGTCATTGGCAACTCAGCCGAGTCTTTGTTCGTCATTTTTTTATGTCTATGCACAATGAAGATAATGAATTGTGTCACAATGGAATCATAAAATTGCATCATGCATGTCATCGAATTACTTGCTCAACCGCACTTTTGAAATATTTGCTGTGTTGATCAGTAATGTACTCAGGTGAATAAGATGCTTGTGATGTTACTCTGAATGTAGGCTATATCCACACCGGGCAGGCATATTTTTCAAGCCTGCCCGGTGTGGATATACACTCATGCAGAGTAACATCACAAGCAACTTTAGAAATACTTTAATATTATTAAACTAAGCTAAATTAGCCTTTCTCACGGCCAATTTTTTTTCCATTTCTGGGGTACTGTCTTTACCTCTACTACCGTTTGAGAGTTTCCGCATCACGAAATGCGACTTTTTAGTACAAAAGTTGTCTAGAATCTTTTACGAGGACAGACAGTACCGCCAAAATGGCGGATTTTTTTTCATATTGCTTTAATTAAATTCTTTTAAAAACAGACAAGAATATAAGTATATACAACACTTGTAAGACAACTGCGTTTAAAATAATTACAAATAGTGGCATTTTAAATAATGACTCCAGGCCGTTTGTCGAATAATTAATGCAATGTAACACGTGTGACATTTTGTTATAATTTATTTACTTTCGTATTCTGTTACTACAGGTTACTGAACGTTATTGAAAGGAATGCTGTTGCCATTTGGGGCATGTTTGATTGGTATGTACACGATAACTATCACACGTGTACCAAAAACAGTGCCGTAGCAAGCTCGATAATTGGGGGGGGGGGGCTCATAGTCATATATTCGTGTTCACAACCATAAAAACAACCGATTTGAAAAGAAATTAATAACGCAGAACACGAATATATGAATATGAGCCGCCCCCCCAGTTATCGAGCTTGCTCTTGAGAATGTAAAGCAGTTTCTTACTGAAATTCTAAAAGAGAATAACTTAATTAGTAAAAATGCCGGATACAAGTTAGTCATATTATCAGTTCGGGAGAAGAACAACGAGTTTTACTTCGTTTTGTTAACATGAAAATAATTTACGCTGCGTATTACATAAATTTCTCTTACATTACGAACATTATTTTAAACAGTTTCTTTATGCATAAAATTTACTTATGTCAAGCTTTTATGTACTCGTGGCAGAGTTCTGAGGCATTCAAATTTTAACAATACTTTATTTCAATGGTTTGCCGTTTGGGTTTATTGGGACACCCTGCAGGATAGGGTTGACTTACCTAGCCAGTAATATAATAGGCTATGGAATTACAAATTAAGATTGAGATAGCTTTCTCCGGGGTTTACGACGTCCTCTTGGACGTGAAGCAAGAACAATTGATTTCCTGGCATAGAAAATTATGCCACTTGCGCACTAAGTCCAATAACGTTTCGTTGCATGCGCTCATGAACGTTTTAAGTATTAGTGTCCTTACTAAAATGAATTCGACGAAGACAACTCGTGTGTTTCTTAAACCGAAAGGCGTAGAAGATGAGAAATAGCTGCTGGATATAGCACTATCCCTAAATCGACTCTGGGCGTCAAAAATATTTCATCATATTTGAAGACAAAATCAAGACACCAATTTAGAAGAATGCTCCGCTTTTGCATTTTTGTTTGCAATAAAGTGCAGAATTTAGACACGAGCATTACACTCGGATGGATGGAGAGACACCGCTGAATTTCTTGTTAGCAAAGTTTATGCAGAAGTATCTAAACCAAATGGTGAACGATACCCTGTCAGATCCTTGTGTGCTATTGCCTGCAGTTTAAAGCGACATTTGCAAGAAGAATGTGAAGTACCAGTGTCATTTCTCGATAAGAATGAGATGAGGTAAACATCGGCTTATCCGTCCGTATATGTTTTGATTTTATTTCAACTTTGTTTCTATAGTTGAGAACTTCTCTGCATGCATGTAGTGTAATATTGCATTAAATGATTATCTACATTAATTTGTATACTGAGATAAGTGTAATGATTAATGTTGTGTGTTAATAAACGATATACTATACCGTGCTACATATTTTTGTGGTGTCCAAAGTCGATTAGATTTTTTGAATTTTTGATAAACGTGAAAGTTTACAGCTGATTCAATTGCAATTTAGGTTGTCCTTCCAAAAGCTTAAACCTTAAACTCTGAGCGCGCAAGGGATGATGGGTTTTCACCTATTAGACCCTTAAACTTGCCTTTGCAGCAAGTATGTTTTCTCTTGTGAGTCTTATATATGTCTCAGATATTCTTGCAAAGCCAAATTTCAAAGTTAAAGTCTAAATAAGCAATAACCCATCATCCCTTGCGCGCTCAGAGATTAAGGTTTAAGAGGGTCTGAATCATAGATATCTTATATAAACTAGATAGCGCATCTCTTTTAGTAAAATTGAAGCCAAGAATATTCCAGCGGTTACCCCCATTTGAATAGATGTCGGCCATGTTGGAGTTTCCCACTCGCTAATAAACGCTTAAAAACAACAATAACTTTCATCATTTGAATAGTTTGAAAATGTATTTGGAATAGGTATAACTTAATGTTTAAGTTCCCTGTTTAAGAAATAGAAAACATACGAGTCTTCTCATTTCATGGGAATATCCTGAGTCTGCAATCACGGCTTCAATTTTTGAATTGCAGAATAATTATATGCACCTTATATAATAAATAGAAAATATTTACAAGTTTTTATTACGATATCTACAAAATACTTCAATTGGACATTTTTGACGATGTTCTACTGGTTTTCTTCGATTTCTTCGTATCTTTCACGATCACTGCCAGTTTCCTTATATTTGCCAAGCAGCCTGCCGCGGCTTCCTGTAAGTCAGGATCGTCTGAGCCACCATCTCGAGAAGTAACTACAAGAGAGTGTCACACAGTGGTTAGTGTATGTATCCCTTTCACGTGTGTAAGTCATGGGGTTGAAGAGAAGAGTGCTTCCGGTTCGACTCTACGAAACAGTCTAGTCTTCAGAAAAGAGATGCCTCTTACTGGACTTTGGGGAGAACAGTGTAGAACTGATACAGCTACCCAGTATAATGCACCCTTCCGAGGCTATCGCGAGCCTCGTTTCGTGTATGTGACATTAGTTAAAGTCGGGGTCTGAATCATGAAAACATCGCCCTATATATAGCCAAGGCGACGTACGTTCCAGATAGGTTAATTCAAGCGATAATTTTAGTTCTTCTTTTGTAAAACTGGGGCAATGATAGATGTTCTTTCTGTACCTCTAAGACTAAGTGAAACATTTTAAAACTGTTAGATCTATTCATTATAAATAAAGTTTTATATTTAGTTCTATAGAAAGATTTTCCTCCTGTAGTAACACTGTGGGCCTCGACTACTGGACCTCTGGAGAGAATAATTTAGAACTGTGGAGCTATTCACCATGAATAAAGTTAACAAGGAGAACTTGGACGTTTCGAGCCGGAAAGCTGGAAGTTAGTAGCAAAGTCTACAACAAACTTCCGACGAAGGGCCTACGCTCGAAACGTCGAAGTTCTCCTTGTGTTTTTCAGGTAGTTGTATCCCTATCAATCCGAAGCTTCCTCATTATTGCCACTACCCACACTGGTACAGACTGTTTAAGATAGTGCTTAAGGTAATTCCGCAGTTTTGCATTGCGCACTTTTACTGCGCACATCCTATAACTTATAGTTTCGTCCATTATACGTACCGTTTAAAAAAAAAATTTATGACAATTTTATGTTACTTCAAAACATCTTTGTTTACATTTGTGCAAAGAATTACGTTAAAATTAATGTTTTCAAAAAAGGCATGCAAGAGTGAGCTGGGGTTCCTGTGTCTGTAGTATGTTTATTTACTTGTATTTCACGTTTTAATGCCTCAATTCCCTAAAAAAGATCGGTGATCCCCGTTTTTTAACTGATAATTTATTTCTTTATTGCATTTTACATTTCATATCCGAAATTAAAAGAAAAATCATTTCTGGATCTTGAAAAAAAATCCTTTATCAATGCATGTTCTCAAAGAAAGATATGTAAAGAATGTGGAAAAGACATTTGTGAATCAGAATTGTACACGCTAGTATTTTCATTTTGCTCAAAACACAATATTTTTTCAAAAATAATTACAAGATAGGTTTACTAAAGCAAAATCCGCGCTAAAAACGTCAATAAATGTCCGGCTGTTGTGATTTTGCTGTTACTCGTAATGATGGCGCCAAATTGGGGTAAAGCACTAAAGGTGGTATATTGTGACTGTCATATCTTCTTAACGAGTTCGATGACCCCAACTTTTTTGGGTGATTTTACTTTAAATATATCATAAACTCCATGCCTGGGAAGTTTCAGCACATTCTCATTTTGGGAACAATTACTGCGGAATTACCGTAATTGAAAACCATGCTGTATAAAACAGCGATTTCTAATCTCACACTAACACACTATTTCCATTATTTTTCTTGTAGACATCGCACCAACCTTAACTCCGCCATGTTTGTGTATGATGGCACAATTCGCCGGGTCACGTGACAGCTGGTACAAAGCTCGTACAGTGGCTTCTTGCAGAGGAGTGTCTTCAATATACAGATATTTGACGATCTTGGATACCGCTCCTGAGGTACGGAATGCTTTCGCATTATCACCAAATACACCGCATCTGAAATTTTTATAAGTAGAATTGGTTATAAAAAATATAAAATAGAGGGTAATTAATTGATGTACGGTATTTTTGAAAACAATTTGAGATCAAGACGAAAACCGGAACAGTAATTCAGTAACCGATTCCATTTGTCCACATGGGAATTCGATCGGTTGGTTGTGCTCAAACATTGTGGTCCAGCCTCGTATGAACTCGAAAAGCAAAATTTCCCGTTCTGGTATTTTAGAGAGGAACGTTTCAAGACGTTCCACTATACCCTCGATGTTCCTCTATACTCGTTAATGGCTTTACGTCTTCCTTGATTGGCAGTTTTCCTTGACAAGTTTTACTTGGTCGTGTGAACGGCAAAAATTGACAAGTTTTTCATTCACAACGAAACTTGTTCAAAATTTACTTAGTCATACCAGCTTTTGAACAAGGAGAACTTGACTATACAGTCGTCTTACGTAACCATTGCTCGTTTATTTTGAAATTATCATGGGAAATTTTTATTTAGTTGTAAGCAGAAATTAAATTCCGAAGGAAATGTTGATTGAAAAAAATGTTTTTGTCGTATGACACACAGGCGAGTAAACTCTTCCACGGGACTTTACCTTGCAATGGCTTCAGCGAGATATCTTCGTAACCGGTTATCTTTCTAAATAAATAAGAATATTTTTGTCAATTTTGATATTTGAAATAAAAGAAGTGAAGAAGTACTCGGTATTTACACATAAACCAGGGATTGATACCAGCTTTTAGTTTACGTCCTTTTTTCGGAAGAACTTTGAGTTTTAAAAGTGCTTGTATTAATCCTTGATAAACAAAATAAATATACAAACGATATATTTACCACATTAGTTAACTCAGCTAGTAGAGGGACAACGTCATAGTCAGAAATAATGCCAACATTTTGATAGTCAACTGCCACCACTGATATTACAGCACACACTGATGTTAATACCTGTAGTAGGAAACGACTAAGGGTTAGATCTAACCCTAATCTAACCATTGCTCGTTATTAATGGGAACATATAACTTATGACTTCCAGTAGTCTTGTAATTAGTCCACTCTTCAGTATAAAATGACACATGTCAATCAGTTATCAGTTGACATTGCACGAACCTCGAGATTTTCAGACTTGAGTAAATTCACCAATATTTCCAGACCACCGACAAAAGAACGAATGTTCTCGGCGTCAGTCTGTTTCGAAGGAAAACACAAATGTTGCAATCAGTTGATTTATTGATTGAATAATTGATTGATCGACTTCATCGATTGAATGGATGATTGATTTACTTAATTGAGTGAGTGATTGGCCAGCCTCGTTCCCAGGCTCTTCCCTCTTGTGGAGGAAAGAGCCTGGGGACGAGGTTGGTGATTGCTTCGTTGATTGAATGAATGATTGATTTACTTTATTGATTGAATGATTGATTGATTTACTTCAATGACTGGATAATTATCTCATCGATTGAATGGATTATTGATTTGCTAGCTTTATTGATTCAATGATTGAAAGATTTACTTCAATGATTGAATAATTTACTTCATCGATTGAATGGATGATTGATTTACTTTATTGATTGAATGATTGATTGATTACTTTATTGATTGAGTGATTGACTTCACTGATTGAATGGATGAATTGCTCAATCCATTGATTGAATGATATATTGATTGACTTCACTGATTGACTTCAATAATTAAATTATTGATTGACTTCATCGATCGATTGTTTGATTAGCTAATTATCTGATTGATCAATTCTTTGATTGATTATTGATTATTGATATACCTGATCGTCATCAATAAGAAGACACAAAGCCCACGCAGAGTTGATTATCACCTTGAAAGGAGAATGAAAAATGTATGTACTTCGAAACACACCCCACAATACAATACAAACACATGCCGTTCCTAATTTCAATCAACATACCTCATCGTCATATGACTTGAGCAGTGTCCATAGCAACCGAATGCCATCCATTTGCTTGAAAATCCTTCACAAAAAAGAATGTCGTAGATTTTCAAATGATATATCAAAGCCAGGTACAGATGTTGCTACTACGAGTCACGGGTCGGGTTAGATTGTTAACTATAGTTTTCAATGTTCTGTGAAAACTGATGTGACTAAAAGAAGGGTATAGGCAAGAAATATATTTAGTATATTTTATATCTCTCCGGTTCGAGAGCTCTTCAATTGGCAACTAAGAATTTCTTTTGCTCAGAACATAGTTAATAGAATTAATAAGAAGATTTCGTGGAAACTCGATGCAGACATTATATACGTTCTATTGTCAGAGCAGCTAACTAAGGGCGCTTTCCATTAGCACTGTCAGACCGGTCAGAACGGTCAAATTGTTGAATGGAACACAAAACGTTTGGGCTTCAGACTTATCTGACCTGAAAATTTAGATAAAATTAGAATGAGGTCCATTTTCGCTAGATATTTGAGAAACATCGACCAAATCTTTCCATTGATACAGAGACAAAAATTTGGGTCTGACCGGCCAGGCCATTAAATGGAAAGCGCCCTTAGTGTGTATAAAACACTAATGGGTCGAGGGGAAATCACGGTTCCTGTTACGTATCCGCCCAAACTCTAATTACATTTTAACTTACATTTTGCATCCTGCATCAACGCTACTGTTATAGATCGCCTTAGCAACGTTCGCTGAGATGTCCTTATCGCAAGTGAATATGATGTGCTTATACAAGGGGACTTACATTCGGAGGTTTGAGATAAAGTATGCCAGAGACAAGGTTTCAAAGGGAAAATTCTGCAATGGCGGACAGAAATTGAACCCACCACAACTGTAATGGTTCAATCCCTGTGATGAAAAGTTTTATTTCTTCCTTACATGAGCGCTATGAAGCAAAATGCCGCCAAAATTAGTTATACAAATCTTCGGGTGACGTCCATGTTGTGACACAAACGTTGCTTGCTTAAGCCTGTTTTCCACTAGCGAATTTGTTCGCGCGAATCTTTGATGAAGAAACCTGGAAGAAACAGGAGTAAGTTATAGTTGCTTTGCTTGCTTGCTTGCTTTTGTTTGCTGTGCCATTCTTAAGGCCCATTTCCACTCAAGAAAAATTTCCACGGACAGAAAATTTTCCGAAAATGTCATTGTTAAAATTTGAAATTTTTCATGTCTGCCAATCACATTTTACAAAATTATCTTCCTGCGGAAAATTTTCCTGAGTGGAAATGTGCCTTTAAGGGGCAGTTTATGGGAAGATGGGATATGGAAGGTGGGATAATTTTGATGCATTGAAACAAGTCACCATGTTCAAACGAAAGTTTAAACGCCGATTAAGGGAACTGAAGAAGATCTCGTAGATCAAGCATATTGCTGCATGAACAACCTCTCGTTTGCAAATATATGGTAATTTATTACTAGGAAAATAATACCGTTTTGCTGAATGATGAACCGTCACTTATTTTAATACGTCAATGTAAAACTATTTAAAACACGCGTATAGGAGTATTTTGTCATATTTAAAATGATAGTGCGCAGCACGAGCATTTTGGAAATGATAAAACACGACTACAGGTGTTTTGAATAGCTTCAAACACGACTATAATAGATGCCGTCTCATTAATATGAAGAATACTAATTAGGATGGACTTCTAATGAAGATGAGTTTTATCAGTGTGTCATTTTATTAATGAGTGTTTGAATGGTTTACTGTCGATGCAATGGAAGTGTTGATAAAATTTTGCATGAATTCATTTCCTCAAGTTGAATCAATTCATACGAATTCAAATTTCTTTTCACTTCCTGTGTGTTTCCTATTGATCAATCGGTTCTGAAACGAAATCTTATTGGCTCATCTAAAAGTAACAGGAAGTTGATCAATTTTCTATCAAATGGATTGATCAACTTGAGGAAAGGAATTGGTGCAATGTTTTATCAACACTTCCATTGCATCGAAAGTAATGAGTGTTTGAATGGTCAACCCAACTCTTGACGTCATCAAAACCATAGTTAATGAGGTCAAGAATTGGTCCAAAATGGCGGACAGCTCATTAATTTCGGTCTAAATATTTCGACAAATCGGTAATAGAGTTTCTTATATAATTCTAAGAGTTCTTTTGAATGAGATAAACTAATTTTTTATTGCCAATGTCCTTTAAGTGGTAAACCATTCCTACCAACGTACCGTTTTGCGTTTTCTTCGCTCTGCGCACATTTCCACACGGCGCCAGTTGCCGCAGCCAAAGCATTTCTTTCTTTTAATGAAAGCAAGTCCATGATCGGAAGAATGCCATCATGTTCATACACGATGTCTCGAGTTTCTTTCTCTTCAGCACACTGTAAGAAAACAAATTAAATTTATGACCGACATCACTCGCTGAAGTATACTTTCGTCGAAGTACCCTCGTCGAAGATAAATAATCCGTGGACAAATTACATCATAAGCCTGTTTTGCACAAAATTTCAGTTATCACAGTAGGAATTTTGCATAGGAAATTCTAAGTTTTGTAAAAAGTGTTTCAACGAACTGACTCACTGTTTAACATTGAGTCAGTTTCCTGAAACATTTCTTACAAATCGTTAAAGTGCATATGACATGAAATTTCTTATTTTCTTAAATGAAGAACTCTTCAGTTAAACTGTAGTGTAACTTATATATTTTTCAGTTTCTTGTTTTTATGGTTTGTTCCCGAGATATTTCCATTTGTTTGATATGTAAATTAGTGTGAATATGTCCGCTAATTTATGACGTCACATTGGTTGCAAGCTCAACTTATAAATCTATTAACTTTAAAAACTGTAGATATCACTTCACGTTTTTCTACAGTGTTTCATCACATTTACCAGTGAGTGAAGTTTGAAATTATCATATTGGATGATAGCAGTGATATTCAACCATTTTGAAGAGCTTGCAACCAATGTGACGTCATAAATTAGCGGGCATATTCACATTCATTTACATATCAAACAAATTATATCTCTGGAACAAACCATCAAAACAAGAAACTGAAAAATAAGTTACACTACAGCTTAAAGAGTTCTTTCATTTAAGAAAATAAGAAATTTCATGTCATATGCACTTTAAAAACTTAGAATTTACCTACGCAGTACATTCCTACTGTGTTTACAGAAAGTTTCACAATGTAAACCAGGCTACAGACAATTCAAAAATCTTCTGGATAAACTGGATTGTGTATGATCACATTCACAACTCAATGTTTCAACACTCTGGGAAATAGGGGGCGCAAAGTTGAGAATATTCTCTGTTCGACTTACTTTAAATATAGTAAGAGCACCATAGGTCTTCAACTCCAGATTTTCACGTGTTAAATGAATGACAATGTACTCAATAATATTCGTATGTTGTACAGCAACACGGAAATTTTTCTACAAGAATATTAACTTGATGTTATCATCCTTTTAGATGTGTTATAATGAATATGTAAAAGATGGAATTTATATGCTTAAAGACGATCATAATATGGAAAAGATGTATTCTATAGAAATAAGGTAAATTAATTTTGACTAAAATATTTGAGTAAAATTATGCAACCACAATGATTCAAAATTTTACTTCCTCCCCCCTCCCCCCCCATGGTCATGAGACATGCAGTGGCGTAACGTTAAAGCAGGGGGCCCCCGGTTCAAAATTTTCGAAGGCCCCCTAGTAGAAGTGCCAAAGGCACGAGTCGAGCGCCGTATATGCACAAGTTTTCTAGGGGGTCCAGGGCATGCTCATCCGGAAAATTTTTGCCGGAATCTAGACTGTCTGAAATGCCATTTCCTGGAATTTGGGGAGAGATTTTACAGAATTCTGATAGTCATAAAACGACATTGTAACATATCAGAGGACCTGGCCAATGTTTTTGCTCTATCGCCTAAGCCTGGGGGCCCCCATTGGGGTTGGGGCCCCCGGGTTCTCCCGGTCTGAGCCCATAGTAGTTACGCCACTGGAGACATGGGTCATATGATGGTAATCAGAGGCGCCCTAGTTAACCCCCCCCCGCATACCTTTAAAAACTCCAACAAGGCAGATCAGTATCATTGCAAACAATGACGTATCTTCTTACCTCAACACAACACTCCTGTATCAGTCCAGTGACCGGAACCAATATATCTTCATTCTCTAACGCGACAAGTTTTGCCAAGTGCTAATCGTGGGTTCGATTCTCGTTACGCGGACTTGTGGAAAGCGCATTCGTTCATATCCACATATAAACTTGAGCTATAGAAATATTAATATTTTCAATGAAAAGTGTTCAAAACCAATAATGTTTTTGGCGTTCCTCTCAAAATTACTTTGGTTTAGCTTTATTTTGTAGCTTACACAGTTACACAAATGTATCTGGCGGTTGAGAAAAAAAAACACACAAAGTAACAGTTAAATATTGTCATTTTAAATACAATTATCATTGATGCTGTAAATTGACGCCATATTTATACATCAACATGAAACAGCAGGTTAAATTTTAATCGAGCGAGGGTTAGTCTGGAGGGTTAGATCCAGCTTTGCGGCCGTGGGTTAGATCCAGCTTTGCGAGCGAGGGTTAGATATCTAGTGTATATAAGATATCTATGG